CCTACCACCACCCCCCTACCACCTCGACCCCACCCCGACCCACCCTACCCTACCCCCACCCCTCGTATATTACCACTTACCCCTACCTTACCCCTTACCACATGGCTCCTACCTCGGCCCCACCCCACCGCCATCCTACCCCCACCCTCGTACCGCCATCCTACCCCCCACCCCCACCCTACCCTACCTCGGCCCCACCCGGATCCCGGGCCCACCCTATCGACATCCTATCCCAACTCCCTACCCTACCCCTACCTTACCCCAACCCCAAACCCTACCCACTACCCCCACCCTTACCGCCATCCTACCCCCACCCCACCCCTTCCCTACCCCGGCCCCACCCTGGTCCCGACCCCACCCTACCGCCATCCTATCCCAACTCCCTACCCTACCCCTACCTTACTCAAACCCCAAACCTACCCACTACCCCCACCCTTACCGCCATCCTACCCCCACCCTACCCCTTCCCTACCCCGGCCCCACCCTGGTCCCGACCCCACCCTACCACCATCCTATCCCAACTCTCTACCCTACCCCTACCTTACCCCAACCCTACCCACTACCCCACCCTTAACCCTAACCACGGCCCTAACCCACCCACTACCCCCACCCAACCCCCTACCCCTAGACCTTACCACCCCACCCGACCATACCTCTTACCCCACCCCCACCCATAACTTCCCTACCCCGACCCCTACGAGTAGGTATGGGTGGGTATGAAGGGTTATGGTGGAGTATGAGTAGAGTGTAAGATCGTGGTAAGGGTAGAGGTAGGGGTCAAGGGTGTGGAATTGGAGAACTGTGTGAAAAAATTGATGAACATGTTTTCAAATTTGAAAATGGAAAACTAAAAAATAGAAACAGAAAATTGGAGATAGAAAAACTGAAAAATAAAAACAGAAAATTGGAGAACGAAAAAACAGAAGTAGAAAACAGGAAAATATCTCTGTTAGTAAACAGGCCGTAAATGTTTTGAAAATTGGGTGCAATGTCCAATATCACAAAAGTTGAATGCAAATCAAAATTCCCCTTTTAGGTGGATAAATCTAGCCAATTTTGTTGATCCTCAACCAAAATTTTTAAAAAGTTGTGATAATTCAAATTAGAAAAAATTACATTTGTACACAAAATCAATAAATAAATTGTATACACTTCATAGTTACTTATGCACACAGGCAATTCATTAAAAATATCAGCAATTATTTGTCAATAATTTGTGCACATAGATTTATACAATTTGTGTACAAGAAGAATAACTCTTCGAATTATCAGCGTATGATCAGTAGCTTGCTCTAAGGCTTAAAACAATAGTTTTATGTTGAAAATGTGCACTCTCTTTTTTATTGTTCCCTTTTCTCCTTCAATTTTCTGATTTATACTTCGTTATTTTTATTTTCTTTGATTATTTTCTTTTTCTCCATTAAAATACTAAAAATTTAACTGCAGTTTTACTTTTCTCTATTTTCAACTTAAATTACAATTGAATTTATCTTTTTATTCTTTATTAATTTACTGCAAAAGTTTTATTTCATCTAAAAAAAATAAGTATATTGCATTTCATATTCATAAACTATTTTTCTGTATGTAATATTATTCATATTCTTACACTTTTTTTTCAATATATTTTTCAGATTTATACATTTTTCTGTAATATACTCTCTCCGATTCCAAAAGAACTTCATTCTTCAACTTTGCGGTTTTTAAGAAAGTGAGATTTTTTTTGTTTGATAGGAATATGAAATGCAACCTTGCAATCTGTTTGATACACATGAACAAGATTGGAGATTTGGAGGAGTTAAGTTTATGCAACAGTTATTGGATATTAGACCAGAGAACGTTCCATTTTTTTTGAAGGAGATAGCGTGTTTTGACTGACAAGCTTTAGTGGTTCAATGAGCAAAGTTTTGCAATTGCCCCCAACACACTCCAAACTCTCCCAGTATTGGGTAACTTTCAACAAATCACTTCATGTCTATTACACTTTTCCCAAAAAGGCAAATGTGCTTGACTGTTTTATATTTTATTGAGTTTCCTAAACCCATGATTTAAAAAAAGATGATGTTAGAAGTTAGGTTTTAGCTTATCCTATTTAATTTTACTAATAGTATTTCTCTGCTTTATTGTAATACTTAATTTGGAAACACCTACTTATTATGTTCATTTTTAACTACATATAATTTAGGAAAAACTATCAAATAAGCCCCCGTACTATGCCGAAAAAGTCGATTAGGCCCTCGTACTTTACAAACACTCAATTAAGTCCTCGAACTATTAAAAAACGTTCAATTAAGCCCTTTTGGTCGGTAAGTAACCGGTTTCCCGGTCAAACGGCAACGACGGCGACGATGTCTTTGAACCCCAGCAACGGCGGCTGCCGGGAAACAGGTTACATTTAACCGAGAAACTGGTTACTTACCGACCGAAAGGGCTTAATTGAACGTTTTTTAATAGTTCGAGGACTTAATTGAGTGTTTGTAAAGTACGAGGGCCTAATCGACTTTTTCAGTATAGTACGGGGGCTTATTTGATAGTTTTCCCTATAATTTATTATTTTAGATGTTTTGATAAATTTCCATTAAAGGCATTGGGTGAATTGATATTAGTCATATTTCATTCTTCTTTGCCTAACTCTTGATTTGATATAATATGTACACCAATTGCATTTGGACGAGATACAAAGTTGAGAGCCTCGTGGATGAAATAAAAAGAGTCATTGCCATGAAAAGTAAGAATAAATCTGTAGCACCAAGAAATATGTGTGTGTGTGTGTGTGTGTGTGTTCAATGTCTGCCTCATGTGAAATAAACATTTTAAGCATGAGAGCCTTGTGATTTTAAAAAAGCATCAACCCTAATTAATTTTGCACATGACCCCTTGGAAAAATTTAACTAACGAATAAATAAAATTTTCCATCATTTTTGTATGATTTAAAAAACTTGAAAAATATATGTGCATGTTTAGTCATAACAACAGAACAAGTGATTTTTGTAAGAGCTTTAAAAGTTTATGCTCCTTATATTTGTGTGAATGATATGTGGATTGTGTAGATTTATGGCAATGTGTGAAAATGAAGGGTTTGAGTAAAATTCCAATATTTTTATCTTATAATTTAGGGTGTGCATTTTAATGAATGATTCATGCAGTTGTGTTAGTCTAAGTTGATTCGTGTGAGTTGGAAAATTATGTTGTTCTTTATTTTGTGTATGTTTGTGTAATTGTATCTCAGAATTTTTAGGTATGCGTTTGAAGAAAGTGACTTGTTATTTTACTATTACTAAGGGATATGAAATTTACTCACCAGAATTTGGAGACATTTCTTACAAAAGATTGTGCAAGATGAAGAACCATATTACTTAAGGTAATCACATTTTTCCAAGGTCTCTTGGTAGATGGATCTATACTAATGAAAAACTAATGTAGCTAATCTAATTATTGTAATTTGAATTTGGAAATTTATTTTTAAGGGCTTGCAATTTTATACTTTGTTGTAAATGAGATGTCATTTCTTTAGTTTGAAGAATCCAAATGAAGAAACACGTTAGAAGTCGAAAAAGCAAAAGAATCACAGGAAAGGGATAAATCAGATTGTCACTAAGCTACAAGTGATGGTCATAGAGTCATGGGAGACAAAGATTAGATCGACAATGTTGGCATTGATGACAAAAAATAAGATGTAGAAGAATGAATTTTTTATCTCTCAATACAATATATACATGAGTATGGTATTATAGAACTCTCAGCACCGTTTAAATCTTTAAAAGTTCAAAACTAAAGATGGTTTGGGTTGTTTGGTTTGGTTTGTATACTATAACCTACTAACACTTGAAAGTATTTGGGTTACTTTTATATTTCGCGCCTTCAAATAAAGAAATGTGATTGCCAATTACATTGCACTTAATTAATGGCCATAACCTTTTGAAATTAATTTTTTGTGTTAGCTAATTTATTTGGGCTGTGTATTCAACGTTTTAAAGAGCTTGTAAGGGGTCAAATTTTGTACGTTTTGAACTTTAGTTTACTTTAAATTACACTTGGAGTCTTTCTTGATTTCATTCATCTCTTTTTGGAAATGTATGATAATCCATTTGTCAAAATGTGCTTTCTTGCGATATATTTTGGAGATTTATGAGCTTTAGATGATTGTCCTCCGATCTGATATACTCCCTCCGTCCCAGAAAATTCTTCCAACTTTCCTTTTTGGGACGTCCCAGAAAATTCTTCCAACTTCACCCTTTTGATTATTTGTGTGGCTCACATTCATTTAACTTTTTTCTTACACAACTACAACCACACATTTCCACTTTATTCCACTTTCTTAAACTCCGATACAAGTCAAACTAGGAAGAATTTTCTGGGACGGAGGGAGTACATGGTAAATGCATGCATAAAATATTATTTGAATAATAATATTTCCGTTTATCTGAAAATCGTTGTGTAACAAGTACTCCCTCCGTTCTTTTTTATTAGTCCTTCTTTCCTTTTTGAGACGTTTTTTTTATTTGTCCTCTTTTCCCTTTAAGGAAAGTTTTTGAGAAAATACTCTCACTTTTATTACTTTTACCCCACTTACTTTTTACAAACTACTTTCTCTTTTCTACTTTACCATCACTTTACTCTTCTTAATACACTCTCTTTCCTACTTTATCATCACTTTACTCTTTTTAATATATCATCTTTTCTACTTTATCATTTACCCTACACACTCTATACTTACCTTACTACTTTATTATTAAAACTCATGTCAAACCCTAAGAGAACTAATAAAAAAGAACGGAGGTAGTAACATTTCCGTTTATCTGAAAATTATTATTTGAATAAGTAATCATATTTTTTGTCTAGTGGAAATCTATTAGTAATATAGTAATATACATATCATTTTTTTTATGTATTGATCCCTTTATTCTGGGATGATTTTTTTTATTGTCAAACAGTTGGCTTAAATTACTACGTAGTACTCCGTATCATAGGATTACAGCAGTAGTAAAACTACAAAAGAACCAGCTATATAACTCGTATCACGAACACTATCTAGTCTACTAGTCTAGTCTAGAATAGAATAAGAATGGTGTTGTGGTCGTATCCTTCAACTCCAAAGCAGCTCTCTCTCACTCTCTGCGGTATCTTCGTCGGAATCTCTTTCATCTCCGCCGGCGCTTACTTCTCCTACTCCAACATCGGCCCTCAACAAGCCCGCGTTAAGGCCCGAAAGGACTACGTCAAATCACGTCTCAGGCGGCTCCTCCAAGATTAGTTAGTGCGGAGTAAATTGTTCCATACATGTTTCCAAATGCTGTTCTTCACCTTTTCGGATTTCTAGGTACTACTCTAATTAATTTTTTCCTGCTAGTTTTTATGTTTTTGCTTCCTTCTTCTGTTGTTGGAAACAGGGATTACGCATTCATTCTTAAATATGATTATGGAGGGGTGTGTTTGGGAGTTGGTTTTGGAGGGGTGGGGAAGGTTGATAGGGTTTATGACCTCCTTTCCATGTTTTGAAGTTTATAAAACAGGAGGGCTCATGTGGCCCTCCAAAACAGCTCAATTTTTGAGTTCCCCAATTTGGAGGGTTTTGAAGAATAATTAACAAAATGTTAATTTAACCTCAATTAGAAATAAATATCAATTGATTATTTGAATGCGTCATCTCAAAGTGATTTTAATTATAATTCATTCAAAAACTCTCACTCCTCTCCCTTTCCCCTCCAACAACATACCAGGCTTCCCCTCCCCTTCCCTCCAAACTCCCAAACATACCCTTAAAGTTTCCCTTGCGTGTGAAGAGTAGAGAGCAATGGAGCAAGGATTTAAACTAAATTGCACAAAGTATGGGGGTTTAGAGTTACGAAATCTGGGGTAGAGATTGAAGAAAAGAGGTGGGGAAGCAGGGAAAATTATAGGAAGAAAGGTTCTTTTTCTTCATTCATCACAAGAGGAAACAATTCAATCGTATTGCTTCAATCCTTGTAGGTTAAAAATGAAAAGTTATAAATTGGGATCTCCAGCTCAGCATATGTTATCAGGATGTATTAGATTTAGCCTGGTGATTTTTATCAAACCTTTTCTTTTAAGTCCCTGCACTCTGCATTCTTTATAGATTCTTTACAGATATGCTGGCCTTTTGTCTTATTTATATTTTACCTCAATTCTTACACAATATTTGAATCTTCTCAATTGGATATTAGGATTCAAATGTGTATAGTAATTCTGTAATTGTAAGTCAAAGTTACAATATGAAGGAAGAAACAAGTAAGCATTTCTACAAGTTTACATTCATCTTTCTTTGATCAAGTGTTTTCCAGTGGACATTGGCTGATTCTTTGTCCTCCGTTACTGGCAATTCAATAATTTGGTACAGGATTCTTGATCTTTCTTGTTACAGTGTAACTGTCTTATTGGTGCATCATCTGGAGCAACTGTACGCATCTAAGAAGCACCCACACTCACGTTTCCCCTTTTTGAAACTTGCTGGAAACCCGGACACCTGGAAATTTAAAAGTCTCATTCCAGGGCTGTTTCTGTAATTAAAAAGAATCGGGAAATTCATTTCGCTAAATAATTAGCTTTTCAGAAAGTTCGGGAGTCCATTTTTCTTCTTCTTTAGGGAAAGTAGTGTGTATATTTTTTTAAAATAATAGTGGTTTTCTGGGATTTTTTCTTTGCAACATCGTGATATTTCATAACACAGTGCATTGCTAGAAATGTATTGTATTTTTTAACTAATTATATACTAATATGTAATAATTTCTAAATTTGAACATGGGGACTCTATTTATTACTGTTTCCCCATGTTTTGTATCCTTTTTTTAATCTCATTTGTCATTTCACGTGTCCGTGCTGCGTAGGTCTGCATAAGTTGAATATGTGTTTGTCCATTTTGTACCCCGTTGAGTTTTTGTATTTGAATTGGTGACATGAATAGGTATTGTTTATGTTCACTATCACCAGCTATTGGGAGTTGTGACCTTCATTTGTTTGTGTTTGTGTTATATATACATGTGTATTTTAGTATGCATATATGTGTCTGTGTGTATCCTTCCTTATAGGAGCATATGCTAAGATATGAAGCTTGACATGTTTCGTTTTCTACTATGCTGTTTTCGAGTGTTGTGAACCACTGATTTCTATTTATACCAGTATTGATCAGGACTAAATGCTTTCTGGTCTCAGGCAGTTCACAAAAACACAAAAATCAATAAACCTGTTAGGCTGTCAGCTTTGGATTGTAAGTTTCATAACCGTATCTCCCACCCGCCCAATTTTTGCTAATTTTGATTCTTGAAAAATCTACTGTCTTCCTTGCATGTCATAACCAGACAACGCTGTGCTCTATGGAAAGCACCCCACAATCAAGTGTCCAAATGCCACCTACAGTCAACCTTACACGGGCATATACACTTGCTGTTCAAACCCCCTCTTTTAGTGAGATATGGACCAAGTTTCATCATGACACCATTTCTGAACAGAATATTGATGTAGCTGAACTTAATTTTGAGGACGAAACCGTGAAATTAGAGGATGTACTTAAACTAAGTCATGATGATATAGAAGTAGCACTTTCTGAAATAGGAGTTGACAATTTTTCCCAACTTGTCTTTAACTTCTTTAACCACAGCGAGGAAACGGCCCGGAAATGTCTGTTTCTTTCTGAAAGCATCCGCCATGCTCGCCGCTTATATGACCCTCTGGATAAACTTATTGATACTGTAGATAAATATTCCCTTTCGCAAGACCAATGTGATGCAGCATTCGACGTATTTCATCAAATCGACAAAATTGAAAATCCATTCCCCGGGTCCAACAGCATTTTCAACGATATGCATAATTGCTACTTCCAACTGAAGAAACAGATTGACCTTCTGATTGGGAATTCTCGCTCAAAGCTTCAGCTTCTCCGTCATGCAACCAGAGGTTGTACCATATGCTTTCTTGTTGTTGCTGTCGGAGTGGCCACCTGTGCTATTCTGATCGCCACTCCTGCTCTCGTTATCCTTTTTGCTACCCCAGTCTGTCCTACTTTCTTTCCTGTGAAGATAAACAAAAGAGAATCGGCTCGTCTGGTGCAGCTTGATGGTGCTTTGAGGGAAACTTTTGTGCTCGACAATTACCTTGAGACCCTTGATTGTTTAGTTGATCCTTTGCATAATTCAGTGGAGGACCTTAAGCGTGATGTTCGGTTTGTGCTTGAGAGAAGCATGGACAAATATATCTTTCAGGCGGTTCTCAAGCAACTGGAAAGAAAGAATCAGAAGTTTGTAGACCAACTTATTTGTCTTGAGGTGCACTTATGCCTATGCTTTACTGCTATAAACCGGGCTAGATCTGTCCTTTTCAATTATCTACTTTTTCATCAAATTCATCCATCTTAACATTCATATCTGTTTCCCTTTTTGGTTTGTGAAAAGTGCTATTATGTTGAACTTTGAATTAGTTAAGACTCCCAGAAGTTGTAGTTTCACAACACATAAACACATTCAAGGGGCAGTAAAGTCACACCATACGTAATTTCATATTCAAACAAGGAGAAGGCATGAGGCTTGGAAAATAAAGGAGCAAAAGTATCAAGGCATGTTTTCCATCAAACAAGGAGAAGGCATGAGGCTTGGAAAATAAAGGAGCAAAAGTATCAAGGCATGTTTTCCATCATTTGCAATGGAGCCAAAGATTCATTATTTTTTGGTTTGAGAATATGATGGAATAAAGCAAAATGACTCACTAAACTGTCTGCGCTTCTTTGTTATGAAGCAGCAGTCAGTCTATGCAATTTTGGACGCGATTTTCACTATGGGTCATCCGGAAACAGTTTCTCTGCGCTTTAGTACAGGGGTAAGACTGCGTACATCCGACCCCCCTTACCCCACCGTAGGTGGGAGCCTTTGCGGCACTGGGGTAAATGAAAATGAAATGATGAAAATGAAAAGTATCAAGGCATGGTGATATATTTAGAAACCAACCAGAAATTATCAATTGCAGGGTTTTGGTTAACCATGCTGCGAGTTCTGCATTATTCTTTTGGATTTTGCATCTATAATGGGCCTGTGATTTTATTCAAGTATAATGAAAGTTGGGATACAATGTTCGACGCGATTTTCACTATGGGGTCATTCGGAAACAGTCTCTTTGTGCTTTAATACAGGACTACAGGGGTAAGAATGCGTATATCCGACCCTCTCTAACCCCACCGTAAGTGGGAGCCTTTGCGGCACTAGGGTTATGATGATGATAATGATAGTTGGGATAGAGGATTAAGTTGTCTGCTGATTTTCACCTATTGCATTTTCTTTGTGTTCGTGGTGATCTTTGGTCCATTACACATTGCAGGAATAATTTTTCTAATTTACACATGCAATATCCTGATTAATCGTCTCCCGACTCTCCCCTATTATTGTTCCCCTATTATTCTTACCAAATGAGAACAAAAACCAACCTAGAAGTGATGTTTTGCACTGGCCATTAAATTTACTCACAAGCAACCCATAGAGAACGGGAGAGTGGAGCCAACTCAAATTAGGATGGACTGGCCCGATTATGGGCTAGTTTTAGTTGGACCTGCTGGCAGGAATGGATTTAGGCGCCCACCCCTTCGAATTTCAAATTTTTTGTACGTAATATTTTCATAACTTTTTACTCCCTCCATCCCAAAAAGGTTTGTCAAATTGACTTTTATTGGTCAATGGTAATTAAGTTTGACCAACAACAATATTCAAGTCTTAGCCCCAAAAGTTATTGGGGTTGGCTAACATGAATCGTTACATGATATCACCACCAAAAGGAAAAGAAAGAAAATAAAGATAAAAAAAGATAAGCTATTTTAAAAAAGATAATATAAGAAGAGATGAATATACCAAAAAATGATAAAATAAAAAGGATAAAAATAATGTTTATATATATAAGGATAAAAGGATAAAAAACAAGACAAAAAAAAGATGAGGGGAAAAGATAATACGAGATCACTCTTTCACACGAATACCTGCCCTTCACTTTGATCTCCCCAAAGTCATACCTTCATCCAGCCCTAGAAGAAGCATATCATTTCGGACTCCCTTAACCCACCTCTGTTTGGGCCTTCCTCTCCCACTCTTCCTTGCTTCTTCTCCACACATCTCAGCTCGTCTGAGAGGTGCATCACTCGGTCTTCTACGCACATGACCAAACCACCATAGGCGTGACTCCCGCATCTTGTCTTCAATATGTGCTACTCCCACTCTTTGTCAGATTGTCTCATTCCTCATGTGATCCTTCATAGTATGCCCACACATCCAACGTAGCATGCGCATCTCTGCCACACTCATCTTTTGAATGTGACATTGTTTCACCGCCCAACACTCTACGCCATACAGTAATGCAGGCCTAATTGCATGCTGTCCTATAAAATTTACCCTTCAGTATAGTCGGCATACCTCTATCGCATATAAATCATGACGTACTCTTCCACTTCATCCACCCTATTCTGATTCTATGGGATACATCTTCATCTGACTCACCATCATGAATTATGGAGCCCAAGTAACGGAACATATCGCTGACCGGTATCTCCTTACCATCTAAAATAATTCTGCTATTACCACTGCTTCTACCTACACCAAACTTGCACTCCATGTATTTTGTCTTGTTTTGACTTAGTCTGAAACCCTTGTTCTCCAATGTTTGTCGCCATACTTCCAACTTTGCTTTAAGACCTGATTGCGTTTCATCAATCAATACAATATCGTCGGCAAACATCATGCACCACGGTATTTCGTTTTGAATTGACTTCGTAAGTTCATCCGTGACTATGGCAAATAAGAAAGGGCTCAAAGCCGATCCTTGGTGCATTCCTATAGTAATAGGAAACTCTGCAGTCCTCCCTACACTAGTACGGACACTGGTAGTACAATCCTCATACATATTCATGATGATGTTGATATACTTGCGTGATATGCCTTTTCTAGTTAAGGCCCACCAAAGAACTTCTCGACGTATCCTATCATAAGCCTTTTCTAAGTCAATGAACAGCGTCTCTATACTTCTCCATAAGTTGCCGAAGAAGGTGAATGTCGTCAGTTGTTGAGCGACCGGGCATAAAACCAAATTGATTCTCTGAAATATTCACAGATCTTCGAAGTCTTTGGTCAATCACTCGCTCCCTAAGTTTCATGGTGTGATTCATAAGCTTAATCCCTCGATAGTTGGCACATTCTTGAACATCGCCTTTATTCTTGAATAAGTGGATAAGAGTACTCTTCCTCCAACTTGTTGGCATCTTGTTGTTTCTCCAAATCATGTTGAAGAAACTTGTTAACCACACGACGTCTCTCTCTCCCAAACTTCTCCAAGCCTCGATCGGTGTGTCATCTAGAAATTATTTTTTTATACGAAATTATTTTGAGTATGAAAATTATATCAAAATGCTCCTTATTCAAAATATTGTCATAAAAGTACAAAATTCACAATTTATATAGAAATATAATAAAGTCATTATCTAAAGTTTGTCATCATTGATCAAGAAAAGTCAATATGACGAACCATTTCGGGACAGAGGTACTATAATTTAAATAAATATCTATGCATTTGCCCCTGTGATTTTTGGATTCCCGAATTAATTAGTGTTACACAATATATAATACACAATAGGAGTCGTAAAAGGAGAACAATCTAATGCAGTTTCTCTTGAAGAACTATTTAAGTTTAGTTTTTTTCATTCAAAACAATATTATTGTTATTAATTTCTTGCCTTTGTCAAATAAATAACAAAATATACTCATTGGCAAACTAATATTAAAATGCTATAAGCAATTTTTATGAAGTGAATTCAAAATATAAATGTTTATATGACATTAAAATTACACGAATTCATTGAGCTCCAACTTTTTTGAAAAGAATTTATTTCATAATAGTAAAGTTAAAAATATTTAGCATAACACTATTTTAAAAATAATATTTTTTTACATACTACTGTATTATTAAAAATACTCCTCATGACTTATAAGCACTCATGGCGAACAAGTGTGATTCATTTTTTTTTTATTCTAATAGAATTCATACAGTGAAACAGTGCAAAGGTCATTTAAATAAACAGTGAAAAGGTCATTTAAATAATATAGGTGGACGTGTACTTGTCTCTTTATCTTTAAATAAACTGATAAAAGTTAGCTAAATATAATTTATTACCATCTTCGTCCCGTTGAAAGGTTCACATGGACGGCATGGTTATTTGAACAAAAATCAAATAAGTTAGTTCGAGTATATGTTACGGAGTAATAGGTATATAATATAATAGGATTAAAAATGTATTATTGTTAGTATTTAATGATTAATTTATTATTTAAGATTATTTAAGATTGACGTCCAAAAAAGAAAAGTATAAAAATTTCTGTGGGAAGTAATAGTTATTACTGTTATTCCATTACAATACTCAATACTATATCATTATCATCATCATCATCATCAGTACAATTAGCATCATTATTCATATCATATTATTAGTGGGGTTTCGAAAAATATTATTAAAATAAAATGTATCACACAAATATGACTAATAGTTACTACAATTAAATTTAAAACTTGAGCATAAATTACTATGATTTTATTACTACTCTAGTCACTAGTCTCATTTTTATAAACAAACTTTATTTTAGTCATACATATGTAATTACTTCTTATTAATAATATTTACAATGTTATTTTATTACTTATGTCATGCACACATTGCTTGCGAAATAAGAGTTCATATGTAATATCATGTGTTGTATAGTGCAACTGTACAATAGGTGATATTTTTGTAATTTAGGTGAATATCATGACTTTTGTTAATCAAGCATCAATAAAATTGTATTGTGCATCAAACGGTCCGACCTATTTTGTTGAGTCTTAAAGGTCTAATATTGAGTATCACGATTTTCTTATTTTTTTAAAAAAATCTTCAATTATACTTCTATCGTCTTAATCGATTTTGCCAATATAATTTTCCTTGTTTATTTGTCCTCAAAACTTTGGCACTTTTGTGTTTTAATGGTAACACTTTCCTTTTAAAGTAATGAATATGTGATCTACTCTTTTCTTTCTCCTCTAAACTTTGTCCTCAAAACTTCAATCACACATTTTTTATTATTTTAATTTCACATCCAACATCAACTAGGCAAATTTGAGTGGGACGAAGCTAGTACATAGTATCTATAATCAATTCCTAGGAATTCTAATTTGTGAATCCAATTTAATATTATACTTTTAAAATATGCATTGATATGAAAATCGTAAAGTCGACTATTTGATCATCAAAATATATGTTCATTGAACATCAAACATCTTCTATTGACCATTGAAACTCTGTAATTGAGTATCGTGGTATCTCCTCTCCTTCCTTCTAATTCACTTTTGTTTTTGTTTTTCTTTTTTCTTATGTAAAAAATTATTGAAATTATATATATAATCAACTTCTATGAATTTCAATATGCAAATCTGATATAGTATTATACTTTTGAAATAGACATTGATATGAAAATTATAACATCTGCTAATTGGAAATCAAGACATTTTTTGAGTATCAAGTCTCTTATTGAGCATTTGAACACTGTGATTGCGTATCACAATAACCTTTGCTTCAATGAATTCTAATTTTTAGTTTTTCTTTTTGGAAAAATTTCTTAAATTTCTAAAATAATATACTTTAGAAATCTGCATTAATATGAAAATCATAATCTCTTCTAATTGAACCTTTAAACTCTGAATTGAATATCATAATCTCTACTTTCATGCCTCCTCATTCACTTTGTTATTCTTAAGGGGTGTATTCATTTGAGACTTATTGAGACTTTTTAAGATTTGAGATAAAATGAGATTTTAGCAGACATATATGGACTTTAGATTGATGTGGATTTTAAGTAAGACATCTCAAGAATTGTGTGGAAGATCTCTCCCATACGCGCAAATGTGCAAGTCACCATTTTTCATCAAAGAGGAAGCTATATCGCTCCTATACATGCAATGGAAAGAACCAATTACAGGATCCAAGCATAGTGCAATGGAAACATGGCCATTTCAGAAGCTTAATCCCTCCCAGCCGTCCAGCACTCAACAAGAAATGGAGAAGCAATTAAATACCTTGTATTTGTTTAAAGTCCAGATTGGGGTCGGAGCAGACAAGAGGAAGAAGAGAAGAAAATGATGGAAAATCAGTCACAAGTATACACAAATGTTCTTGATTTTCCAAACTCCTTTATCGTGTCCCAGGCTCTTCTGTGCGTCTCGCAGAAGGATTTGAAATCTCACATATGCAATGAGATTTAGGAATGGAATTTCAACTTGTATTTGGACTTGTAGGTTTGGTTAAGTCCCAAGTTCCAAAATGAAATCCATGTCTCAGCCCAATATGAATACACCTAGACATTTTAGGATTTATAAAATATTTTAAAATGTCTTATTCAAATATACCCAGATTTCAAAAATCCTAAAATGTCTAAAAATGTCTAAAATGAATAAACTCCCTTGGTTTTCCTTTTCGTAAAAAAAAAATCTTAGACTATATCCATAATAAACACCTATGAATCCAATACACGAATTCAATACAGTACTATATTTTTGAAATGTGTATTAACATAAAAATTGTGTAGGAAGCATTTTTCATTGATTACCAAGCCTCATTTATTAACGATTGGAATTGTGCAATTGAGTAACCTGATTGTTGCTCCGGTTTCTTTCAATTTACTTTATTATTTTTAATTTTTCATATTTTATTCGCTTTGTTATTCTTGGTCCTGATAATCATTTTCCCCTCCAAATCATTGTCCGGCCCGCCCCGGAACCGGCCCAGACCGGACACTGTTTGAACCGGCCCGGCCCGTGAACCGGGCCATAGGGCGGATCGAGTCGACCAGGCCCGCTAGTCATACGGTTTGGGCTCGGGCCCTAGGAATGGTGAACCAGCCCGGCCGGTTCACGCCCGGTCCAGGCCAAATTTAATTTTTTTTTTCTGAATTTTTTTATGTTTTCGGATTGGGCTAGGTATTTTGGGCCATTTGAGGTGGTTTGGGGGTACGGCTGGACTCGGGCCGGTTGGGGCCTGGGCCCGGCCGGGCCTCGGCCCAGAAAACTGGAGCCCAAGCCCGAACCGCCGGTGGCCGGTTCCAGTTCCGGTTCCGGGCCAAACCGGGCCGGGCCGAGCCAAACCAATCCATTTTTTTTTTGTTCTCCTATTTAACCCCCTCCCCCTCAATCCCCCTCAACCCCAAACCACCTCAAATGGCCCAAAATACCTAATTCAACCTAAAACTTAAAAGAAATTCAAAAAAAAAAATAAAAAAAAATAAAATCCGGCCGGGCCCAGGCCGAAACCGGCCGGGCCGGTTCGCCTAAAGCAGGGCCCGAGCCCGGACCGCCCATCACCCGGGCCGGGCCAAACCGAACCGCTGGACCCACCGGCCCCAGGCCGGGCCAAACAGTAACCGCGCCCGGCCAGTTCCAGGTCGGGCCGCCCGGCCCGAGTCCACCCCTATTTGGGGGTGAGGGGGGAGGGTTGGGAGTTAATTAGGAGAAACCAAAAAAAATAGATTGGACCAAGGCCCGGCCCGAACCGGATGGTTCTGGGCCTCCCATATCTGAATCATAAAACGGCCAGGCCCAGGACCGAACCGCGCCCGAACCGGCCCGAAGCCATCCCTACATACTGACTGCCTTCTAATAAGCTACGTGAACACCAAATAGTTTGAACCAATCATATAAACATGCAACAAGATAGACAAAATCTAAAATGGCTACCTTTCATTCAAAAGAACATCACGCATTCACAGTTCACACTACCGCATTCGACAGTCACCGATCCTGGACGGACCAGCGCACAGCTAATTGTAAGGTAAGATGTCGCGAGGCAGAGAGGGACAGAGGGTGTAAGCAATAAGCAAAATTCTCAAATAAACAATGAGCACTCTACAACCAAACGTACGGTAGATTTTTTCTCCATACAAGCTCTCATTGCTCAATAAGGATGTAAAAATCAAATATTTGAATCAAATTAAGAGATTCTGGGAAACCCTTTTTTTACAAGATCCGTTAGCAGAAGCAAGAGAAATCTACTTGATACCGAAACCCATCAGCAAACTAAAAAGAAGTCAGGACACAAACAACCAAGGGAAGATGGCGAAAATTCAGCCAAATTTTAGGTGTGAAGAGGATTATATGTTCTAAAAGGGTAGCCAACTTTTAATGCAAACTAGAGACTTTTAGAGAAAGGAAAAATTAGAGACAATAGCTAGCCAGAGGACCAGAGTAGACTGGGAAAAAAGATGTTAAGCATACATAATGCGAACCAACTAATTATGTGATTGTACCATTCCAGAAAATCAACTGAAACAAATAATTCAGCTGATAAAGTTAAAAAAGGTCATCAATATGTGGAACTATAATGCTATACCTTTCAAGCATTGGTTGGCTGGATATGCAATTAAACATACAGTTCCGGGCAGGGTTCAACATACATGTTTGTAATTCAATATTTTACAAAAAATCATGATACAATTCTAAAGAGTGGCATCTGTTTAATGCAAGTAGGACTTTCAAAGAAAGAAAAGGGGGCTATTGATAGCCAGAGTACACTCAAATTATCAATGAATTATGTGACAAGATAATGTACCAATGTACCATTCCAGAAAATCAACTGAAACAATTAGTTCAGGTGATAAAGTTAAGAAAGGTCATCAATATGTGGAACTATAATGTAATACCTATCAAGCATTGGTGTAGCTAGATAGGCAATTTAACTTTTAGTTCCACCCAAGGTTCAACATAAAAATTTGGAATTCAATATTTTACTGAATAGACAACAATTCAAATAAAATACTGCCAATTGGATATTTGAGTATATTTAAGTTTACAAATAACTAATTGTACAAACTAAAATGTAAGCATAATAATTGAACAATTGTGAAGAACAGATAGATCAAGCAGAAAGGGCAATTTAAACACAGATCAATTCAGAAAAGTAGTCAATTCTCTTTAAAATATTGTATAACTACATGAAATGTTAAAAAGGATCAGCTGACTTGGGTAATATTAATCAAGAAAAATCAAATAGTTCAATCACGCCAGAGCTTCAAAAGATTGGGGATATGGCAGAAAACATTCTCCACTGCTGTCTAGATAATCAGACAAACCACATAACAAAAGTAAAGAGACTTAAAGCCTTCTTCCTCTTCTACCACTCTTTCTGCGGGTACTATCGGTGGGGATTGGAGTAACATCCTCTGCAAAAAGAGAAGACGTAACTTTCTTGGTCAAATACAGCAGACAATGCGTAGAAAGTATTATACATAGTAGTTAACAATAGCCAAGAGTTGGGGATCAAAGTTGTTTCAATTTGAAGAAACAAAATGAACAAGTATCCACACAATTTAAGTCAACAGCTATAAATCTGATGGAGAAGGATCAAAGACAGTTGAAGAATGGCACACAAATGCTTTCTGACTCTACATAATATTTGTACACGCTCCCAAAGGTACTAGAAATTTTCATTGTCTTTCATTTACAGATAATACATTCTCAAAGGTATAATTTCCATTTAAAGTTAACAAGTGAGATTCTGTATTTTGTAGCAGGCAAAACCAGCTGGACTTATGAACCACAGTTATGTTGGTCTTTAAAAACTTTTTTAAGATAAAGAATTAATATATAGATATACAATGACTGTAGTAGTAAAGTCCAGATAACAAATAAATCTAAGACAATCCAAATACTTGGTAACACTTTCCAGATATATGTAAAGACGAGTTAAGGAACCCAAGTGATATTTATACCTATACGGCCAATTTTCATGCCTGAACGAGCAAGGGCTCTCAGGGCAGATTGGGCACCGGGTCCAGGTGTTTTTGTTTTATTCCCTCCTGTAGCTCGGAGCTTGATGTGAAGTGCAGTGATACCAAGTTCCTAAAACAATAGTTAATCGCCAAATTATTTATAATTGAAAATGATTAGTATTTGAATCTTCAGATTAATCAAACCAGATAAAACATGGTTATGTAAATGAAATTTAGATGGGATATACAGAATACCTTGCAGCGCTGAGACACATCTTGTGCTGCAAGCATTGCAGCATAAGGAGAGGATTCATCTCTATCAGCCTTCACCTTCATCCCACCTGCAGATTATTAAAATATTACTGATGTACTAAACATGTCTGCAATGAAAAAAGGAACTCAAAAAAATGACAGCTCTTTCATTCGAATACAAAACTAATACAGCAATCCCAATAAATAATTAAACATACCAGTGATACGAACAAGGGTTTCCCTTCCGGACAAATCAGTAACATGCTGAAGAAGGAAAAAAAAAACATAAAAGCCGGTTACAATCAAAATTCATATAAACTCTCTTAATTTTAATTATTCGACCATCAGCTAATCGCAACTACAACTGGAAAACTTACAATGAAGGTATCGTTGAACGACGCAAAAATGTGTGCCACACCAAACACCTTTTCTCCATCCCTTAATGTTGGTCCGAGAGTAACAGTCTCCTCCTTGGGCTCTCTGTTCTTTCTCCTAGACTACGAACCCATTTGGGGAAAACAACAAGACCAAATGGTGAGTCAAAAACAGTAGCAAACTTACATAGCTGATATATAAACACATTCGACATCAATGATATATATAAAACGCTATTATTAAGAAAACGAAGCTTCACTTCCGATTGAAAGAATCAAATACATGCCGACAGTCGTAGATATTGGGGGTTACCATGGTGAGATGAAGAAGCTAAGCTGCAACTTGAAGATTGAGACCCTCTGTTCGTGTCCAAGTGAAGTGTCGATGGTTTGTTATATGTATCTAGGGTTAGGAGGTGGATAAATGAAAATAACGCATACGAATATGATGAACAAAGCCCAATGGACTGTCTGTTTTACTTTGCCAGGTTGAACCCATTCGACTTGAAACAAATTTAAAATAGAGAGTTTTTTCCTAAAATATTTCTAATAAATAAGTTATGGATTTTTTTGGGAATAAGTTATGGATAAATAGGTGACTTAATAATTATTATTAATGAAAATAATTGTGTTTAAAGTTTACATCTAAGGATAAGGAATGTAAATGCGGTATGGTAATCCATTTTATAAAAGACTCAATTTTTAATTTAGAACAACAAATTGTGTGAGAACTAAAAGAAATAAGATTGAATTTATTGTTCTGTTATATTTTGTGAAAAGTATTTTACCGGTTATAGTAAAAAAATATTTTTCTGTTTGTATTTCAAATACTATGTATAACTTTTAAATAGTTTGATAAATTCAATAGTCAATCATGGTTACTAAGTCATACTTTTGCCCATCACTTTTTAGGAGTAATATTAGGGGAATTTTTTCTTTAAAATAAAATAATAACAAAAGAAACGATAGGTAATTTTGTTCATAATCGCAAAATATGATCCGCCATCACTAAATTTAACTCGTGAAAAGACGTTTTGTATTTGTATTGATAATTACTACTCCCGCTTTTCCATTTAAAGGTTTTCACTTTCCTTTTTTGGACGTCCTACTTAAATGTTCTCATTTTCTATTTTAGAAAACAATTAACACTTTTAAATGATAATTTAATCATCAAATACTAAAAAAAACATTTATAAAATCACATTTATCATCAAGAATCCATTATATTATACACTCCTCAAAATTATTTCTCAAAATATACTCAAATTAGCATTTTTAATTATTTTCTAAATAATCATGTCATTTTGCTACGGGAACCTTTAAATGGGACAGAGAGAGTATTTTATAGTGAATATATGAATAACATAAATAAATGTTTGAAATATATTATATAATATTGAGCCTAACTTTTACATTATTCAAAAATATACGAGTATAATTTAAAATATATAAAAAGTGAAAATACAAATAAAAGTTGTTGCTTTTAGACTGTTTAGTGTTTCGTACCAGATTATATATACAACTGATACAGCTAGCTGGTGATATTGTGGTAAAAAGAGAGATACATGTATTTACAACCATAAGAGGGATATTTATACTAATAATAAATGTGTTTTGCATTAAATACATACATGCATATATGCTAGTCAATGGGCAAGAATGTGACGTGTGTGTCTTAATGGTTTGATGGAAATATCGAAACATCGACATACCGTACTTATTATATTGAAAAATACTAAATTTAACGAAATGTTTGGCATATCCATACTTTCGGTATGGTATGGTACCGCACCAAAATAATTCGGTACAGTATGGTGCCCTATCGAAATAATTCGGTACGGTATCGGTATATATTTTCAAAATAAACGAAATACTGATGTACATACCGTCATACCGAAAGTCCAAACCAATATTTGCTTTAAAATTATAAAAATGGCTAGAAATACAATATGAATTAACTCAAGGATAAATGCCTTTATATCCATGTTTCTTAAACTATTCATACTTCTTGTAGGAGATCACGGTTATTTTATTTATATCTATGTTGTCAAAATTATTTTAGGAGAATGTTGTGTTATCTTCATATATTATATGTTTGAATTATTGAAACATATTAATAATAATTCTTGTTCAAAGTTGAATAGAACATCAATAGATTTTTATCAGTATTTTGTAATTGATTTTATTAATGGTTTTAGTATATCATTACAAACACCGATTTTCTATATTTCATGTGGCATACAATACTAATACTAATATGTTATACTCCGTATCAAAATTCATGTAGATCATAATAATTAACCGATATCGTACATTTACCGTACTGAAGTTTATACAGAAACAAGGTATACAGAAATTTCGGTAAGATAACAGTAGGGGTGTTCGTCGATTTGATTTGGCCGGTTTTCGGTTTGGTCGGTTCGGTTTGGTCGGGTTTTTCTGGAAAAGCTGAAACCGTAAACCGAACCGCACTACTTGAGTCGGTTTCGGTTCGGTTTCGGTTCAGTTAATATCGGTCGGTTCGTGTCGGTTTCGATTAGTTTTAGCATGCTTTTGTCGGTTTTTGTCGATCGGTTTCGATTCAGTCGGTTTTTTAACCCCAAAGGTGAAACCGTAAACCGAACCGCCAATGTTTAATCGGTTTGAGTCGGTTTCGGTTTGAGTCGGTTTCGGTTTTGGTCGGTTCGGTTTCGGACGGTTTGTCAGTCGGTTTCGTTTTTTCGGTTTTTTTGTTCACCCCTCCTAGATAACAGTATGCATTTTTGCATACCGATGAATATTTTTTGAGAGATGAATATTTTTTGCATCCGGATGAATATTTTTTGAGAGATGAATATTTTCAATACGGTAAAAGTGTAAAATAAAATATCCGTTTATATCATACCAATTACCAAACCACCCTATGTGACTATGTGTGTCCGTTTTGAACCAACGTTCAATTGTCCCAATTTCATACCACTTCGAACCATTTCGTGTCAAAAAACGCATACTAAGAGTCCTTGGTAGCACCAAAATCGGCTGTTTTGGCTGATTCTGCTGAAATTTATGATATTCTGGCTGGAGTGGCTGTTTTGGCTGATTCTGCTGATTTAAGAAAAAAATATTTTAAAAATATATTTTATTAATAAATTAAAGAAAAAATTATATGTAAAAATAGCTAAAATGGTCCTCTACAGTAACTTCAGCCAATACAGTCAGAAAAGTAACTCGAACCTTACTTTTTCGGCTTATTACACAATTCAGCGCGCGAAAGTAAAAGTTACGTGTTTGGTGAAAAAGTTGGCTGATAAGTCTGATAAGCCGAAAACAGAGTTCTCCAAACGGGCTCTAAATTGAAAGAGATAATAATGGGGCACTTCATAAATGTCTCACACGAACACAACGGGACAAGGACTTTGCAAACTCCTTTTCTAAACTTTTTGTAAGATTGATTTTATGGTGCTCATAAGATACCATACTTTTGTCCACATGGACAAATGAGAATGTTGCAGTTAAATTATTTAAATCTAAATTAAAAATGATAACGTGATGTGGTCTAATCAAATAAATAGTAGGTACGGTACCCCATTTTTTAAAAAGGTACCGGAATTGTCACCTTTTTTTTTGTAAAACGTGACTAGTTAACAAGTAATTTTCGAAATTCTAAATTGAAAATGAATCACAGAATATGGTAAAGCTTTATTACAAACATGACTTTGTGTGTTGTGACGGCCATGCTTTGAGACTCTAAATTACAAACTAAAATCCATATATATTGTTTCATGACGCCATTTTGGTTAAAACAGCATTCTTTTAAAAGCTTTCATTCAATTTTGTTCAAATTATCAAAATGACGTCATTTTGATTAAAACAACATTCTTTGATTAAAATTCCATACCAAAATATCATTGTTCAAAACTTGAAATGATATTATTTTGATCACTTGAATAGGATTAGATAGAAAGTATCGAGTGTATGTTCGACTCTATACATCTCTCATGCATTATGTAATCTCTTTTTCAAGCACTCATCATGAGGAGGTCATTGGGGATAAAAAAAAATTGATATCACTTGATCCTCACTATGAGAGCTCATGAAGTGATCGATCAAATTAAAAGGTTGAGAATGAAATCTAACAAACATTTTTTGAATAACCAATTAGAGAAAGTCAAGTGACTTTTTACTTACAAAAGATAGTGACATGCAAACGGATGACTTTAAAACCGCATTCTTTTAAAAGCTTTCATTCAATTTTGTTCAAATGATCAAAATGACGTCATTTTGATTAAAACAACATTCTTTGATTAAAATTCCAAACCAAAATATCATTGTTCAAAACTTGAAATGACATTATTTTGATCACTTGAATAGGATTAGATAGAAAGTATCGAGTGTATGTTCGACTCTATACATCTCTCATGCATTATGTAATCTCTTTTTTGAGCACTCATCATGAGGAGGTCATTAGGGATAAAAAAATGATCTCACTTGATCCTCACTATGAGAGTTCATGAAGTGATCGATCAAATTAAAAGGTTGAGAATGAAATCTAACAAACATTTTTTGAATAACCAATTAGAGAAAGTCAAGTGACTTTTTACTTACAAAAGACAGTGGCATGCAAACGGATGGCTTCTCTCCCAATCAAAGCAGTCACCAACCCCATCAACTATCCCTCAACTCCCTAATTTCATTTGTTATTCATTAAATTTAATTTATTGTAAAAAAAACTTATACCACAGATTTAGTTTTTTTCCTCTATAAATAGACATCAATGAAAGATATGTTTAGTCACTTCGAAATTTACCACTTCTTTCCCTCTTGCATCTTATTTTATCTGTTTTAAAGTATTTTTTTCTTCTGAAAGTGGATCCAACCCGTTCTCTACCTAGATACGATGCCAACAATAAATAATTATAGTGGATCAAATGTGGATTTTATATTCCTTTCTCAAAATATATAAATTAAAAATGGTGGAATATACCAAAAATTTGGAGAGAGAATGTACAAATGTTAAGTTACCTAGGTCACCAATTCACCAAGTGGGATTTCCCGAAGGAGCTTTCCCAGTAAGATATTTGGGGGTACCCCTAGCTCCCCTTAGGGTGTCAATAGCTCAATACTCTCCACTAATTGAGAAGATTGAAAATTTTACACTGAAGTGGAAAACCAAGAATATGAGTTATGCAGGTAGATTGCAGCTAATTAGAGCGGTTATTCAAGGTATTCAATCCTATTGGATCCAAATATTTCCAATTCATGTGGCGGTTATTGAAAAGATCACATCTCACTGTAGACAGTTTCTGTGGGGTGGGCCAAATGCAAAAGTGGCAGGGGTTGATGTTTGTAAGTATAAAGAGCAGGGTGGTCTGGGATTGAAGGACTGTAAAATTTGGAATTCAGCTTTACTGTCTAAGACACTTTGGAACATTCACTGTAAAAAAGATACACTTTGGGTCAAATGGATCCATAGTGTATATCTCAAAGGATGCTCTATATGGGAGTGGACACCTCCTTCTGGTGTTTCTCCTTTGT